AAAAAGCAAGAAAAAAAATAAAAGTTTGAAAAGTAAAATCTGCACATTTCCTTCTTGTTGTAGGCAAAAAGTGAGTCATAATGTTGTAAAAATCTCCTTGAATAATTAAAAAGAGATTCCAAAATTTTTCTGAATTGGAAGCAAAGTGACTTTATCCCTTCTCACATGTAATTCAGTTATTAATAATAATTAAGATGAACCTTCACCATACAATTTTATTTTTTCATGTACTTTTTTTTTAATCTGAAAAAGACTCCATAGAATACCTTACAATAAAAAAAATTTGTCACGGTTCTCTTATATTCAATTTAGTTTTAAAACTGATTACAATTTGTTTCATAAAATCATTTTGACCTTAAGAGATTGGAATCCACTGTGGTTACCTTAAAGAATATTAGAAATAAAAAAAATGTTTGTGGTGTTATGAGGTATAGCTTCCCTTTGCTTCCTTTCTCACCAGGGTCACCTTTTTGTCAATCCACCCTAAACTGCTTCCACTTGTCCTCTTTCTCCTTTCTGACCAGGTTCACCTTTCGGTCCTGGAGGTCCATCTTCTCCAGGTGCGCCTCTCATTCCAGGTAGCCCTCGGAGTCCCTCTAATCCAGGATCACCAGGTGCTCCGTCTCGTCCAGGCATTCCAGGCTCACCTTTAATACCAACACAAGAGGTACCTCCTGTGCATGATCCATTGTCTCCTTTTTGTCCATGTTCACCTTTTCTTCCTGGTTGCCCTGTTTCACCTTTTTGGCCATCAAATCCTGGGATCCCTGCATTACCTTTAAAGCCAGGGGATCCAGGGAGACCAGGATCACCTGTCAGTCCTGTGAACCCAAAATTACCTTTAAGGCCCTTAATTCCTGGGTAGCCATGTTCTCCTTTGTAGCCGCGGGGTCCTGTGATTCCAGGTTCTCCTTTTGGTCCTGGCATTCCAGGGTCACCTTTGATCCCTCTGCACCTGGCACCTCTGGTGCACACTCCGTTGTCTCCTTTCCGTCCAGTTTCACCTTTTTCTCCTGGCAGCCCAGGGTATCCATCATTACCTTTGAAGCCCTGTGGTCCTACAATTCCAGGTTGGCCTTCAGGTCCTGGATTTCCAGGTTCACCTTTGAACCCTTTGCATGCAGCCCCTCTTTTACATGCACCATTCTCACCCCTGTCACCTTTGGGTCCTGGCAGCCCAGCATTACCTTTCGGACCGTCAAACCCATCGAGTCCTCGTTCACCTTTATATCCACGGGGTCCCTCAGGACCAGGTTCGCCTTTTGGTCCAGGCATTGGAGGGTAACCATTACACGAGGCCATACCTCTGCATGTACCACGTTCGCCCTTGTTTCCTTTCTCTCCTCTCAGGCCTGGTTCACCTGGGCGACCTTGCTGGCCATTCAACCCATATGGTCCTGGTAAACCCTGAGTACCTTTCATTCCTGGATAACCTATGTCACCCTTGTCCCCCTTGTTCCCAGCGTTTCCTGTGTAAGATTAAAAATCCTTTTAGTCTGCATGAACTCAGTTTACAATGAAAGAATTCATGTATGAAATAATGAAAAGAACTCGAAGTAAAACTGTCCTCATGCAGAAGGAGGCAAAGGTTTAAAAGTCTGTCATGTCTTAAACATGGAAGTATGAATTAATTACCACGTTACCAAACTTACCTTTTTTTCCACGTCGTCCCCTGAATCCCATGTCACCTTTTGGACCGCTGGGGCCTGGTACACATATTTTCTCTTGAGGTGAGCACAGCTGCGATGCTGTTAGCGATTTGAGTCGCACTTTAATTTCTCTACGAACATCGTCCAAGGAAACAAAGTTAGAGATGGGTGAATCTCGACGATTTCTTTGACCGGAGGCACCAGCTGTTAAGATGTGTGTAAGAAATGAAACGGATTAGACAGGAGTAACTGTCCAATTTTACCCTCAGGCTCTGAATTTTTACCCTTGGTAACATTTGAAGGGGGGGGGAGTGGAGGTTCATGTTTTTAACGGGATAACTGTTTGTAAATTCTTCTGACTAGTGAAAATATGGAATTAAAACCCCGTGAACTGTGAATTTTTGTTTTTCGCTTTAAGCCTTATATTCGTTTATCCGATTTTTCGTGATGCGTCAGTTCTACTTTTTGATGTCCGTGAAACGTGCGTAGGACCCAACCCCCCCTTCTATACCCCTACCCCCCACCAGATACTTCGCTGAATGGCATCGATTAACAGCTTGTCCTGATAGTTACTTCTGATAAATTTCTGGGTACTTTTAAGACATTTGAAAATAATCGCCACAGATGAGAATTCTGCTCTGCACAGCGGGTCGCTTCTTCTTAGATTTCTACCGGAAACGTCAAAACAGTGAACTTTTTCCTCTTCCGAGAATAAAAAAAACAAATACCTGAACGATTCACGCAAAAATCCGGTCAAAAACGAACTTTTTTACTGGTGAATGGCAGGCAAAAAAAAGGAGGCGTGAGGGCATCCTTCTTCCTCCTAGACCTAGCACTATTGAGTGGTGACTAAGTGAAGGGGGCTGTATACGTAATCGTTAGTTTTAACCAGGCGATCACTAAATCGAGCTTTCCCCGACAGAATATTTAGGAAGAGGCCAAGAGAAAAATGTTTTTGAAGCTATACGCTTTGTTCAACTGTTCAAGATCTATAATAGTGTCAAAACTAATTGCCCCGTTTGCGGCTTTTCCTATTCAAGTCATATAAGGGATTAGAATTAAAATCTATTTTATAAAGAGAAAGTGGTTTACATCACCAAATTAGTAAGTTCACAGGACTTGTTAAGTAACAGTATTTTAATAGATGGCAAGGGAGCTTCCAGAAACCGCGGGGCTTATACAGGAAGGCCCTTACCGAAAGAGAACAAAAAAACAAAAAAAACAGATTACGTCATTACAAGCAATACGCATTCATTGTGAAAATTCCCATAGCCAAACCAAGAATCTTAATAGTCAGTTTATCTATTGATTTAGTAAAAACCTCGAAGACGTCCTGTAAAACATGCAAGAGTTTGAGAATGCCTAATATCACTGGGTAAGAGATTTCAATTTTTTTGAGACCGAACGAAGTTTTTACCTTGATCATGGCCGTCCTTGTCGACTTCACTCAATCGAGTGACATCAGCCTCTAGTTCTCTTACTCTTTCCCTCAACAACTCCAAACAGACGGAAAATCCAACGCAAATCCCAAGCACCACCACAAAAATCATTACTTTTTGGGATAGTCTCGACGAGCGTCGGCTTTCTCTTCCATCTTTAGCCTCAACAGCAGTTCCCATTTTTTGGGTAGAGCCAAAACGACTTACGTCTGCTCACCCAATCAACGGTGCACAGTGTGTTTTATATAGAACTGGGGAGTCCGAGTGGGCGATCAAGAAAGCAATTGATTGATCGAAGCTTATTTGACTGACAGTCTTTGGTACAGACAAACGTCCTTCCGTTCTTGGGTGTTTCTTGTCTTTATTTTCTTTATTAGAATTCCGTTACATCACGTTCTGTTCAATTAAACAAGTTAACTATAGCATCTGTGCCTGTCTCATGATACCAATGATGAAAGCTCCAAAGATAAAAACCAAATGCTTCTTCCTCCTCGCCAGTGACAAGTTGTCTACTTATCGACTGTTATTCTTTAGAAACGTGGTTATCAAATCTGTTATTCTGCTCTGAAAACCGATATCTCTGCTTCCCGCCTTTACACACCTACGCTTGGATAGTACGTGACATAAACCGAGAAACAAATAATTACACGATATTTTAAGGTTTTTTTTGTTTGTTTGTTTGTTTGTTACGATGTGAAAAACTAACCTTTACTCCAAATAAACTGCGAAATACACAAAAGCTCGAAGGAGGAAACCTATAGGAAATAAACAATGACAGCTAAGGATGGATATTAGCTCGGATTGATAATGAAAACAAAGATTACATTGGTAAGATGGAAAAACTCGTAAGAGGAAATATTAGGCCAAATTGGACTGAAAAAGGATGGCAAAGATTAAAAAGGAGTCCAAATAAGATAACTACCCTGAAGGCTACATTTTCAGGACTACATTAGGCATTATTTTGGTTTTTTGCTTTCTCAAAAGCTAATGGTCCGTTCAATGCCAGTTGAAGGGAATTTTGAAGTGGATATGTTTGCACTATTGATGTATCATAAATGGTTGGAGGCTTATTCTTGTATAAATTAAGGGAGATCCAAGCGATTCCTCACTCAAAAAATTTTGAAAATGTAGATACACTATCATGTCATTTAGCGAATTATGAGAGATTTTTTTGAAGCTGTTTGACGTCACCTTATCAGGAGGTCTTGAGGTCAAATTTTGAAGGGATGGGCTAAGGTCCAGCCTTGATATGATCTAGTGTTTTCATTGCGTAGTCCAGTTTTCGATCGATCAGTTACCGTCTCGGGCCATCTAATTAAGCAACATAACCTGGGACACCTTGCTGTTTAGTCACGATGTCCGTTGTTTCTTATTCAGCCAAATTGGGAAGATATAACAAACCCTAATTCTATTATTGGACTATCATGTTTCAACATAATTGATAACGAGTAAAAAGTTAATTATATATATATTTATATTTTGCTGTTATTGTTGTTGTTGTTGTTTATTTGCCAATCATAGTATATGTCATCACGTTGTTTACAATTCTAACATAACCAGGCCAGAAGAACTTCAGCGAGCTCATTAGAGCTTTAAAAAAATCTCCCCTAGTTAGAGTATAATTTAACATTCATATGACATTATGCGTCCAGATTGTTACAGTAATGTTAAAAGAGGAAAGCATACAAAATAAGCCAAACATCGAGATTCCACATATCATTGATACAACTGCGTAATAAGAATGTCTGACATACGAACAAATGTGCTAAAACATATTTCCCTTGAGATAGTCATCATTCTTTAGAAGAGTTCCTAATCCGTCTCCGACTACGTAGATCAATTTCATGATATAATTGAAACGTTAAGAGGGATTAGTTGAAGCAACCTCGCTGAAGCGGAAGGCACCAAGAGTCACGTATCACAAACTGGCTTCTTGCTGTTGAAGCAACATCGCTGAAGCGGAAGACACCAAAGATCTTACACCACAAAAGCTTCTTCTCGCTGCCACAAGGTCTACAGATTTTTTCTTTATCTCTCTCTCGTTCTACAATAAACAAAAAGCTATGTGTTTAGATTCTCACTTGATTTGTTTTTAATTTCCAACCTCAACCATGTGATACACGAAATGAAGGACTGTGGGCTGAAAGTCAAAAGTAACCTCCGTGATCTGAAAACACTCACCGACATGAACCTTACGCTACTAAAAGGGGCCAAAAGTTTTAAACAAATCACTTGAAGTAGTGATAAGTGCAGATGCATGAAAAACGAGAAGGGATAGCATCATTACTGAGTGGCGGAGGCACGCGGAATAAATTTCGGAACAAATATAAAGAGGCTGCGGTAAAATTATCCATTTCTGTGAGAATTGGATAAGGAAGAGTGCTGCAGCAGAATCTCGGGGAATAAATTGGAATTTCCGTGACAAGCGTCAAATGTGTTAAAAAAATAACTAATTCATAGGAAATAAGCCTTTTATTCTGATAGTGCTTATAGAATTAACGGCCGGCAGACACTGTTGCTGGGACGGGATAGCCCAGTGACTTGCGGCGTTTATTATTTACTCGCGTATTTAAAACTGACTTGTTTTGAGGGAAAATTATTTCATAGGATATAAGATTTTTACAACAATTCCCTCCATGCGACAATCAGATTTGTTGTATTTTTTTGTGAAGATAAGTGCACATTCACATGATCAGTATTGTTGAAATATCATGCATAGAGCCTGTCACAAAAGATCTGTTAGTATAATTTTCTAATATGTTGCTTACTACTTCGTCCAAGAAATAAAAATTCATTAAATGAATAGTAATCAGTCTTTTACAGTTTGGATTTCACTATTTTAAAATTAATGTCTTCCTTTTGCCCACAGATGTTTTTTCCCACATTTCGTGTTAATTGCATCAATCTCTCCCGTCTTTAAGATTGTTTTTCCCTCTGTTCGTGTTAATTTTCTTAACAGGGAAATTAACCTTAAGCTCGATTTACCTTGCTCACGCATTTCCTGTTTACGATCTTTGTGCGCGGGCTCATTTCCGAAACAGTGGCTGGTAATCGAGAATGGATTAGCATTTCCCCGAGTCTAATTTACAGCTACGACCAGCGTTAATTACCGTATGCCATTAGAATTTAAAAAGAACTCATTCGTTTGACCTCCGCGATTCTAGCTGCGCAGGTGTTGATTAATTCTAACTGCATTCCAGATTTCACTAGAAGGAACTTCACTATAACAAGAATTTGTCGCGAATTCTGCGCTGTTCAGTTAAATTTCATATTTGCACAAGTAAATGAGGCAAGCTAACGGAGTCTACCAAAAAGTAATAACGAGTGTAAAATAAGCCACGAGAAAATGGATGAAAAATATGAAAAAAGACGACATCCTTCGTTCTGCGAAGTCAACCACTCATCGTGGGTTTAAACAGCAAATTTTACTTTGTTTGAAGCAAACTGACTCTTCCCTGTCTTTCAGTGGCTGTCACGGTTCACATGAAATCTTAAAACGGAGAGTCGCTATCAGCCCATTACCCGGGGTCAAGAGAATATTAAAAGTTGATATTCTCTTGACCGAGGTAGGATCATTTTATACCTAAATCCTACGTATGTGTTTGTGAGAAGTCTGGGTACGAGACTAAACATGGGTCGAATCGATCACACTCCCTGGAAAGCCCTTAAAGAATGTGCTGATGGACGAAACATTTGATGCTACAAGCATTACCCGTTTTTTTTTTTTTCTAAATCATGCTCAAAATCATGCTTGTGCGGTTGAAAATTATGCTACTTTGTCTTTTAGTATTCTTAAAAATAATAATTCTTAGAGACCACGCAAGTCATGACTCTTGTAAATTTCCTTTTTAAAAAAATAGAAATTTTCAGATTATGCTAGCAGCTATACTTTTGTAAAAAGTGTAAAAATTATGCTTGTTTTAAAAAAATCATGCTGGTGCAATAAATATGGGCCTACTCCCCGGAGGCAAATTTACACATGAATTCGACTGGGGTATATATCTAACCGTCTTATTTCTCAAAAAAAATTGAAAAAAAGGGAAAGGGGCGTAACTAGAGAGCTCCTGGAGTGCTCCCAACCCCCTTCCACTTTGTGGGTTAATCTTTTCATGTGTCAGCAACCTGAGCTTGAAAATAATAATCTTAGAGAACAGGCAAATCATAAATCTGGTACTTTTCCTTTAAAAAAAAAAAAAAAGAAGGAAAATATGGTTAGTACGATAGCAGAGCTACTTTTATAAAAAGGGCAAAAATTATACTTATTAACCCATAATTGGCTCCTGTTTAACCAAATTATGCTAGCACAATCTATGAGGGCTACTATAAATTTACAGCCAAAATTTACCGACGACTCCAAGTAACTATCTCAAAGAATTTACATCTAGAGATAAAACTGTCCGTTCTTTTCATTTTTTCTTTTTCGTCGCGACCAGTTTCATCCCGACTGGCGCTCATACACTATACTTGGTTTTTCGGAGTAAAATATCGCATAATATTGTCTCCTGATAATTTTCACACGCCCTTTTCCCCTTGCACCCTACCTCTACAAAAAATTGATATTATTTCGATATATTGTTTATGTTTTTGAGTGTTGAATGGATTTTGTTTCAAAGGTGTGAAAGGTCAATATTTTTTTACCAAATAAATTATCTCCTAAGCGGTACTTCATCAAAACATTTTTTCTGACACTTGTTGCATTTGTCAGGTATCGTATTTTCGCGCCTTTTCCGCGGATTGGACAACTTCCATATAAGGAAGGCGGAAAACCAATTGCCGTGTCACCCTCGTTCCCGGATGAAACGTGAATAAGTTATGAAAAGATATGGCGCCGCGTGTGAGTAGAAAACTAAGAGTGAAAATATTCTGTCAGTCTTAGAATGAATGAAAAACATTAAGCGGAAGGTTTAATTTATGGCGTCGTGAGGTTCCCAAATCTTCTTAACTGGAAGCCGATGGTGTGGTAATACTGCGATCAGTCCAGAATGAGCTCTAAAGTTAAGGTGGCTGTTCGTGTCAGGCCATTTAATCGGCGAGGTAATTGGCAGTACTTAGAAGTTCTTCGTGTGGAATAGCCGGCTATGATTTCGTGTTGTAATCGCGTAGATTGATTTCATTTTCTTTTACTTTGACAGAGATCGATTTGGGAACAAAATGCGTGGTAGATATGGACGATACGCAAACGATATTGTTTTCATCGGCCTCGAGAGACAGGTCTGTACGAACGCTCGAATGTAGGGACAACGTGCCACTTCGTATTTTTATTTTCATTTTATTTGTAAATTTTTACGAACTCAAGGTGTTGAAGTTATCGATCTGACACCAGAGTAATATTCTGGATGTCTAGATTTACAGTTTTATCGCTTCTTTATCATCATTTTCTGTCATTTGGAGGTGAAATCGCGCGTGTAGTTGGTTCCTCGCAGGTTTTTGTTTTGAATCATAATTGCTTTAAAATTATTGATTTTTGGAAGATATTTTGCATTCTTAACCAAACACCGTTACGTAAGGTTTTGTGCATTGCCCATTTCTTCGTTTCATGGTGATCTTTTCCTTTTTCGTGCTTGTTTTTTGAGGATCCATTAAAGACACATTTTAAGAGATACGACTTCTATTTCCGCTGTCACTTTCCACGCTAATGATTGAGGTTTCTTATGCTATAATGGTGAATATTTCTCCGCTTTCTTATCTTCGATATCAAGCTTGCATCTGTTTATAGGTAAGAGAATACTTGACAGTGTCTCGCTTTCCGATCGAAAGGATTTTTCAGTGATTGTAACGTGTTCTGCCCTATTATTATATAACACAAATTCCAGCCTTGTTTTAAAGATTTAATAAGCCGTGGTTAACACTGAAAATCTACTCAGCGCTGCTAGTTAAAAGTAGCTCTCGTTGAAAGCGGTATTATCTTCAGACGTCAACAGAATCACTGTCTTAAACCATTGGATTAGCTTTCGTCTTGCTGTGATTTACAGATTTGTCGCATTTTTACATGAAAGTACGCTCGCGAATGCTATTGTTCAGTGATCAATATTCCTGTCGGCAGAAGCATTTTATATGGAAATAAATAGTTTCCGTTATCAAACTGTCTTCAACATTGAAGTCTACAAATCGCTCGAAGGGGGCCATAGCTTTTTAATTGGAACGGAAATAATTGGTGATGATGAGTCGTTCGAGAATCTTTCTCTGCCCACTTAGTCTTCGTTGTAAACAATGGCAAGCCGGTTGATTGCTTTCAAAAAGACCTGTAAACAAAATGGGCTTAAAATTACTAGAAATGTAAACACAAGACGAACAATGATTGCAGAGTCAAGAATTAACTTCCACTCGAGATATTTGTGTTGAGTGTTGATGATTCAAAAGTGTGCCAAATAAATGCTTGTCATTCTGTTCGAGTAATCGGTTTTCCTTCAGGCGATTCTAGAAGCTTTGATCATTCCATGTACCTGGACGTAATTTTAATCAATATGTAACATGAAAGCTCAATTCTAGTTACTGATTTCGGTTTTTCTTTTTATTCACATTATTCTTGGATTTTTTCTGGAGACAGGAAGAACACAAAGGTATGTTTAACCAGGGTCATCATAGTTTGCAGTTTAGTTACAGCGGAAACAAGTACATGTATTTAGCCTCTGTCCACCTTCCTTCCTTTTATGCATTTTAAACTTATTTTGATATTTTGTCTAAGCTTTGTGAATAATTTTTATGCAAAAAGATTTTTTACTCTGTCTCCAATTTAATCCTCTTGTTTATCACAAGATAAAAGATAAAAAAATAAGATTAAAATAATTTGCCAGATTGATAAAGTGTGGAAATGTTATTACAAGCATGTATGAAAAAGTGATACCTCTGTACTGAGCAAAAATGGCATCAATGCATTAATGAAAATTAAAAATATGTGCATGATTTAACAAAGTTTTTAATTTGTCGCTCTGAGAGGGAATATTAAATCAATCCTGACAGAATATAAGTTTGTGAATGTTATTAAAGGATCTCTAAAAATTTTGTTATTTATCCTTAAATGCATTCTGTTTAGATTTAATTTTTGTAAATTTAAGGGCAGGGTGAATTTGATATGAGAAAATATGTTTCTAAACATTGTTTTAAAACATTGTTTTTAAAGATGTTTTTTTCTTATCATTTTCTTTATTAAAATTCTCAAGGGGTGATTTTCTGGGACCCAATGTTCAAGTTTCCTTAACTCCTTGTACATTTTTGTTGCATTTGAAAAACACTTTTTTTATTCCTCGTAAGTGCAGCATATACTCCAGACCTTTTTAATGAAGAAATGTGTGTTCTTGAAATGGTATGACTGTTTTGATTAATGGCATTCTTTGAATTTTTTCTTTAAAAAGACTTTTGCATTTGATCACTGCTTTTGGTCAATGGAAGAAAGTAACAACAAATATGCAAGTAAGTTCATGCCTGCCTTTAACCCTTTACATCCTAATATCTGTATGTATATTCTCCATACTGTTCTCTCTACATTTCCCAAGGTGCTGACAGGGAGAATTTGTGTAACAATCAAGACCTTTAGTTGGTGATCAGTTCCCATATTCTCATGACCTAAATGTGTGATTTTATATTGTAAGGAGAAAATAGATGCTACATGTAAATGTAGTTACTCTTTGGGATCAAAGAGTCAAGAGATAAATGGTTTTTGATATTATTTATATAATTTTTCACCTTTTCTTGTTAATGAACTTTTCAATATCTTTTGTTTCACAAAGTTATAAGAAACTGTATTAAAAGGGCTATTGTAAACTTCGAGACGTAATTTCTTGATTCCCTTTATTGATTCATACTTACTACAACATCTAATTCGTATCATAAAAACCTAAACTTCATAACTTCGCATAACCACTCGTCTTCGCTTCGAAAAGGTACTACTTATATTACTTGGCTCACGTGTCCGTCAATCAACAAAATCACTTCTGCACTGTACAAACAAACGTTACGTAATTGTTCTTGCGTGGGACGTCTCAGTGTTTCTTACAAGGGCTAAGGAAGGTCATAGTTAAAAATCAATAAGGAAAGGTCAAACAATGGAAAAAACTTGAAGTCATTGATGTGACAACGGCTATTTTGCTGTTCTGTGAAGTTAACTTGTCTGTTGGTGTGTGTTTGTAGTGTTTTATATTGTTCTGAAATGTTCATGTTTTTTTCCAAGTCCTTGTTTAAATGTGGTACTTTACATTCATTGATTTTAATTCTGTTTAAGGTAAAATATGAGAATTGCTCTTAAAATTTATTATAAGTTTATTTAGTAACTTTTTAAATAAGTGGTGTGAAGGTTGGGAAATTGGCAGTTCAGTATTGAAATCAAAGCTATTTCAAATGAAGAACTTCCTGCCTTGAATTTCCTGGACAAGGCAAGTGGAAAAAGCAGCTGTATTCTTCCAGTTTCTAACCTTGCCCCACCTACATTAATTTAGATTTTGACTTTTTTTGGGAATCTGAATTAAGGCATGAATGAAAGTGATCCTTGCAGTGATGAGCACTACATGAGCAGTTCACAGCACATCTTTATCCACAGTTCAAATATATGGCTTTTATATATTCTTAGCCATTTATTCATCACTTCACGGGTTTATTTGGAACCAACTTAATGACCAGCTCCCAGTTGGCATGTTAGCTCATTTGGTAGAGCCCTACACTGGTATTGCAGAGGTCATGGGTTCAAATCCTGTACAGGCCTGAATTTCTTTCAGGCCTTATTTTTACTACTGCTCAAGTAGTGCACATTACTGCAAGGATCACTTTCATTCACATCTTTATCTGCAGTTCAAATATATGACTTTCAATACATTCTTAGCTGTTTAATCTGAATTAAGTTACACTATTTTGTTACTCTCATTTTCTGAAACATGCCTTACATGTTAAATTGTGTAGGGAAATGAGGACTTGTAGGAAATTGCTCAATTCCTGATGAACGTATTATTTATTCTGGGCTTTCATTACAGAATGTCATAACAGGGAAGTAGTAGATGGTAACAGGAGAAAATCCCCCATTTCTGTAGAAAAAGTAGTCTTGCATGTTAAAATTTGGATAAAAAATTTGAGAATTTTCCATTATCCAAACTTAATGAGTGTCTCTCTACTCTGTTCTCTTGTTATGATTCACTGGATATGCAAATTGGAAGGTGTTTATCGGTAATCCAATTGAAACAATCTGATCTACATAAGAAATAGCTATTTTATAAAAGAATTCTGTCAGAAAATGAGAAATAATTTATATATTACAATTACGAAGTTGCATTAGTATACAACAGCATATTGGGAAGGTCGGTTCAAACAGTGATTGATACAAACAAGTTTACTTGTTGTTGGTAGCCATGTAGTATTTCTGTGCTATTTTACTGTAACCTATTCTTTAAAACAATAAATCACCAACAATAGGAAAACAAAAGGTCTACCTTATACATACTAATGCGGCAGATGTGTCAAGTCAATGCATGCACATGCAATTTTTTAACTTACACTTTTTTTTAATCACACTTGCATGCAATTTTTTGGCATTTTCTATGTGTCTTTTGATTAACGTATATGGGAGCAGTACTGTACTTCACAGATTGTTTATCTTGAAAAAATTGAGTATAAATATTTCAAGTTTGGTGTTTACAATGCCTGTTAATCTTTCCCATTGACAGCCATCTTTCTGGCTTTTGGTTTAATCCTTTTATTTTTAATGGATTGTGTTCTGTCATTCAAGTGAATATTGTCTTTCTTAGATTCTTACCGCACTAGGATTTTTTGCTGATCTTTACAATGAATTTCTTTTCTGTCACCAAAAACACCTCAAAATATAATAATATCACTTGATGTATAAACGGCTTAAAGTAAGTTGGCTGAGTTTTCATTGTTTACTCTTCATTTAGCGCATTGCATACGTACACGTTAACATCGACCTTTTCCTTTCATTTAAAATTGTCAACCATTAATCAAAAGAGCGAGTAAAAGTTAGTCTTCAAGGTGTATGCTGTGAGTCAAAATGTCACTGTTTTACAACCTGTTATTGTAAAGTTGGAAGTTTGTTTCTGTTTCATGTATCAGGCCAAGAAAAAGTTTACAAGTGTCTTGGTGCAGATGTTTTGGAGAATTCCTTTGAGGGCTACAATGCCTGTATTTTTGCTTATGGACAAACAGGTAAAAAGAGAATGCATCAGCTGTGATTTACAAGGCAGCTTCTCATGCTTGCCTTTCCTTCTTTTAATTCTTCTTCTACTACGTCAGTTCTTTGTGATTACATTGGACTTCATAACGAGATCTGAGCTTAAGAACTGGCCAGGATCATTGATACCAACAAAGTGTCAGGAATGTATGACAGAGCCATAGAAGGGAGGCATGCTGGGAGGAGGAGGGGGGCATGGGGAAAGGAGGAGGGGGACATGCAGGAAGGAGGAGGGGGGCATGTGGGAAAGAGGAGTAAAAATGCTCCTCTCCCCTTTATGCTACAGAAACAGTGATACATGTAAGTTGTGGCAATGGTGTGCTATTGGGTTCTTCACTCATGTAACTGACATCATTCCTTTCTTGTTTTTAGGATCAGGAAAGACATACACCATGATGGGAAGCCAGAACCAAACAGGGCTGATTCCCAGACTGTGTAATGAACTGTTTGATCGGATTTCAAGTGTAAGTTGAACTTACCATAAATAAGTGGAAGTTGGGCATTGAGATGGAATGAACAAAAATGTGTTCAACAAACTATTTATCTATTTATCAAACATTTCACATTTACTTACTAACATACGCCACTACAATCTTTCCCTCAGAATGAAGATGAGAACATCACATACAAAGTGGAAGTCTCTTATATTGAGATCTATAATGAGAAAGTCAGAGATTTGTTGTGCCCCAGAGGGTATGTCAATGATATCTACATTTGTACAAGCCACAACATACCTATATAGATTTTGCTTCTTTTATTGAGGGTAGCATAGAGGTTCCTGATCCCATTTCATGCACAAGTTTTGAATACATGTAAACCAAGAGAAAAGAAGGAATTTGCCTTTTTTTTCTGGATCACATTAATACAGATGATATTTCATAATTAATCAAGTGGTGCATTTTTAATTTGGCATTAAATAATGTAAGATATTTTTTGTTTAGAAACCAAGCAACACTAAGAGTGCGAGAACACAAGATTTTAGGGCCATATGTTGAAGGACTCACAAAGCTTGTTGTGTCATCATTCAAGGTAAGTTTTAAGACAGCACAAATAACATTCCTGTAAAATATAGACGAGTCAGAATTATGAATTATCTTGAATTCTCAAAGATAATAAATTAGTCTTAGCATGGAGTTATGTTATACTTCAGGATATTGAGAATCTAATGATTGAAGGAAACAAGTCCAGAACTGTTGCTGCTACCAACATGAACACAGAGAGCAGCAGATCACATGCAGTGTTCAATATTGTACTCACAAGATCCGAGTACGATAAAGAAACAGAGGTATATATTAACCCTTTAACTCCCAAGATCTCATTAGTAATTCTC